GAATCCATTTGGCACTTACTTGCTACTTTGGTTATTTTATAGATTGACCCATTATGAAATTGCTTATATTTGACCACTGTGACCCAGAAAAAGGACAAGTTCATAATGGTTGAATTTAACACTGTTCGCATATATAGTTCTCATTTTCTGATGGCCAAAATACTGGACCAAGAAGCAGGACCATAAGAAATTCCTTTATTACATTAAGCTGAAATTGTTCCTGTAGCATTTCCTCAAGAATATAGGTCTGAGAATCAGAGGATTGATGTTCTATACCTGGCTATACTGTTAATTTGCTCTATGAACTTGAGTAAGAGAATTTCACATTCTGGGCCTCAGTTTCTTCATGTACAAAGTGAGGAATCGGATTAGATGCTCTCTATGAGTTTTTCTATCTCTACTACTCTAAAATTCCAGACTCTCATCCCTCTATCTGTACTGTAACCCATTAAACCTGTTGCCGTGGAGTTGATTCAGACTCATAGCGACCATATAGGACAGAGTAGAACTGCCCCATAGGATTTCCAAAGAGCAGGTGGTGGATTTGAACTGCTGAGCTTTTGGTTAGCAGCCAAGCTCTTAACCACTGAGCCATCAGGGTTCCAACTACACTGTTAGTTCCTTAAAAACAGGGACATGTTCCCAGAGTACTGTCCAAAGATTCCTTACAGAATCATCTGGGACTTTTGATAAAATGCAGATTCTTAGGCCTTATCCCCAGAGCTACTAAATTACAAGGTGTAGAACTTGCTTCCTTCCTTACACATACTGAACTTTGAGAACCATTGCTTCAAGCACAGGATTTATACAAAGTACTGGTCAATAAAACATTATTGATTGTTGATGCTGCTGTGTCAGTCAACCCAGGTGATTCAATTGAATAAATCATCAGAAGTGGATAAAATAATGCAGCAAATATATTGTTTTCACCACACAAAAACATCATCAAGGACATATGAAAACAAACAAAAAGAAGCAGCAGCTCGGCAAAGTGTCACAACTACCAGCATATACCACATATTTTAAACTTCTCTTGGTTTCCTTATTTCTATCAAATACAAATAAAGTGTCAACCCTAATATTCAAAGTCAGGCTTATAGTAGTCTCATCACCCCAAAGCATTAATTACACAGAACTTGGAAGAAAGTAAACACAAAAAATTTTCTAAATTCAAGAAACGTGCAGTCATCAAGCACTTCACTCTACTTTTTCAGCCAGGATCCTCTGGCCTCCTCTTTAACATAATTACTAAAAGCCTTGGCTATTTGATTTTCTAAGCACAAAGAGATGAGAAATTTGAAACCAACAAGCATAACGTAAACAGGAAAACTGACAACAAACACTAAAGATGGAGACACAACAAGAAAAAAAAACAGATATAGAATGAACGTAATCCATGTTCTTTATCATGATCGTAATTTACCAAGAAAAGGGGCAATTCTGTCCAAAATCCTTGTTTAGGATTCTAAGAAAATATACAATACATTTTCAGCAAACTTTATTCTCAGACTTGAAAAAGGTTTTAACGCTTGAAGAGGTAAGGTTCACTTATTTAGAATCTTCCTCTTATTTAGAACATCTATCATGACCCAAAAATCCTCACAACTGGACCAATAAACAACAAATGATAAACAGAGAAAATATTGAAGTTGTCAAGGATTTCTTTTTTTCTTTTTTTTGGATTCACAATCAACACCCATGGAAGCAGCAGTCAAGAAATCAAACGTACAATGCAATCCCGATCCTAATACCAACAAAATTCTTCAAAGAGATGGAAAAACTAATCATTCACTTTATTTGGAAA